TTGTTGTTGTTGTTGTTGTTGTTGTTGTTGTTGTTGTTGTTGTTGTTGTTGTTGTTGTTGTTGTTGTTGTTGTTGTTGTTGTTGTTGTTGTTGTTATTGTTGTTATTGTTGTTATTGTTGTTATTGTTGCTGTTGTCCCTCCCTGTAATTAGAAGCCTGTTCTCTCTCGCTCTCTCCGCTCTCTCCGCTTTCGCTCTTCTTGTCCTTCTCTCACTCCCTCGTTCTCTCGCTCCCTCGCTTCCATCCCCTCTGAATTTCTCCTTCATCCCTTGACTGCTCCATTGACCACCTGTTCATTTCTGTGGTCAGTCACTCGACCACGTTGCGACCTGACAGGAATTCCCCATCTCTCAGCGAACCACTCCCTATCATCTCTGTCCACCATGTCCGACCAGCAGCAGAAGACGACGACTCCGGTCGTTCCTGAGTCACAGCCTGCTACCATCACTACTCCTGAGGCCCCTCAGCCTGCGTCTGCTGACTCTGCTACCGCTGCTGCTCCTACAACTACTACTACCACTACCACTAGTGACGCTATCGCGGAATCTCAGCCGGAGATGACGACCGAGGAGAAGACGGCCGCGGAACCTGCTCAAATACCCGCCGCCGCTACCGCTGCTGCTCCTTCTATTCCTGCCACCACCAAAGCTCTCGTTACCGAAACTGCTCCCGCTCTGGAGGGAAAGAATGAGGAGGAAGTAGCGAAGGAAGGACCTTCGAAGGATGGAGTCGAAGAGGAAGAACCCAAGGAGGAGGCCAAGGAGGAACCTAAGGAAGAACCTAAGGAGGAGGCCAAGGAGGAGCAGCCTGCCCAACCGGAATATCTGGTCAAAACCCCCGCTCTGGCCCAGTTCTTCGATCGCCTGCCTGCCATTCTCTCTGCGACCGGCCATGCTGAGATGTGGGGAGTGGCCTTGAAGGACTCCAACGATATCCCCACGGTCAACGTACTCATTAAATTCTTGCGAGCCAACGAGGGCAATGTCAAGCTGGCGGAGGAGCAGCTGACCAAGGCCCTGCAATGGCGTAAGGGGATGAACCCCGTCGCGCTGACTGAAGGTCAATACAATGCTGAGAAGTTTGGTGGTCTTGGCTATGTGACCAAATACACCGAGGCGAACGGCCAGGAGGTTGTTGTTACGTGGAATATCTATGGAAGTGTCAAGAATGTGGAAGCTACGTTTGGTGACTCAGATGAGTAGGTGACTCCCCGGGGAGAATATGCTGTCAATTTGAAGCTAATCTTGGGTTCAGGTTTATCCGGTGGCGTGTGGCACTTATGGAGCTGGCAGTCAAGGATATGAAGCTTGGCGAGGCTACGACCGTGATTGACTATGAGGGAGAGGATCCCTACCAGATGCTCCAGGTCCACGACTACTTGAACGTCAGCTTCCTCCGCTTGAACCCCAACATCCGCGCAGCCACCAAGAAGACTATTGAGGTGTTCGCCACCGCCTACCCCGAACTGCTGCGTGAGAAGTTCTTCGTCAACGTCCCTGCCATTATGGGCTGGATGTTCGCCGCGATGAAGGTTTTCCTCAGCAAGAACACTACGCGCAAGTTCCACCCCATCTCCAACGGCGCCAATCTGGCTCGGGAGTTCTCTGCTCTGAAGGATCAGTTTCCTCACTCCTACGGCGGCACTGGTCCCGCCTTGCAGGAAAGTGGCTATACCGTCAAGTTGGAACAGAGTGCTCCCGTTGCCGCCGCGGCTCCTGAGTCGAAGTCGGACGCAGAGGGCTCAAAGGAAATTACAACCCCGGCTGAAGAAGTGCCCGCGGAGGCGCCCAGACAGGAGTCCTCGACAGTGGAGGCTGTCAAGGCGGACCCTACGGTGACGGCTCAGGAGACGTCCGCTGTGGGGGTGGCCAAATGAATGTGATGGTGCGGCTTACTTACGTCTGGGGCTCCGGCATCCGCATGTGGTTGAAATGTTTGAGAACTTTATGGTTGGTTATGGGAAGGCTAGGGCAGGATTGATACCCGGAGGACTTGGTAAATTGATTTTGTGGTGTTGTTGTGGAAGGTTGCTTTTCTTGCATACTTGATACCTCAGAACCATTGGGCTTGCAAGCCTTGGATCGGAGATGTGGTCCTCCAGATCAGTAGTAATCTTTAATCAGGACTCAATGTCTCTTACCAAGCAAGGGATGTTGGGGACGTTGAGGACGTTGGGGATGATTCATAATAATACCTGAGCTATGTGATTGTCCTTTCTTTCTGTTATCTTGTCTACATGTGACATGTCAGATTTATTTACGAGTATGTAACTATGTCTTGATTAGGCAACCATCCCCCTGATGGACGGGTGACTAAGCGGGTAGCTCCGCGCTGTTCCAGAATGTGTGTTGATTTTACTTACCGCAACTACAACTACAATTACTACTACTACTACTACTACTACTACTACTACTACTACTACTACTAATTAATTTACCTCGAAGCGATTAGGTCAAGTTGCGAGACCCCGTAGGACGCAGGGACCTTCCAATTGCTTCTGGTCAAGGCCCCCCCGCCTGTCTAGTGTCTAGCTCATAGACTATTATTGTTGTGCCATTGACCTATCTCGCTTGGTATCGATCGCCCCCTTCCATAGCAGCAGCCATGTCGGGAACACATATCGCTCCGTGGAGAACCCCGGCCCAGGGCAATTTGACGCCCGATGGTCATGGAGATGCCAAAACGGACTACACTCGCTGGCGACTACGGGACGATCGCGGTCGCCAGACGTGGCACTATCTCGAATCGGATGAGGAGTGTGAGAAGTGGCCGCAGACGGTGGCAGATAAATACTTCCTGGGCTTACCCACGGTACATCTTCCCTGGCGCTCTGCGTTGACTTCAGTCATTTTCTCTAACCGGGCTGAGCTCTAGGGTCTTCCCGAACTTCCAACACCCAAGACTCCGCTTCAATGTGCGGAGAACGGCCTGGAGTTCTTCTCAAAACTACAGCTTGAGCCGGGCAACTGGGCCTGCGAGTACGGCGGGCCTATGTTCTTGCTGCCGGGCTTGATTATCACCTACTATGTCACGCACACTCCCATCCCCCCGGAATACGCGACCGAGATCAAGAGATATCTCTTTGCTCGGCAGCATCCGGAGGACGGTGGCTGGGGTCTTCACATCGAAGCTCATAGCTCAGTCTTTGGGACGTGTATGAACTACGTCGCGCTGCGGTTGGTTGGGGTCAGTGAAGACGACCCCCGCATGATCAAGGCCCGCGGACTGCTCCATAAATTTGGAGGCGCGCTCTATGGACCTCACTGGGCGAAGTTCTTCCTCAGTGTGCTGGGTGTGATGGAGTGGGACTGCGTGAATCCTGTTCCGCCGGAGATCTGGTATGTTGGCTTGCTGCTGTTATCGGTGTGAGATAGGGACGTTGACTTGGACTTTCAGGTTACTTCCGGACTGGGTGCCAATTGCCCCTTGGCGGTGGTGGATCCACATTCGACAGGTCTTCCTGCCCATGTCCTATCTGTGGTCCAAGAAGTTCGCCCATCCGTTGGACCCTCTCACCAAGCAGCTTAGGCAAGAACTGTACACGCAACCCTATGATTCGATCGATTTCGCCAGCCACCGCAACTCAATCCACGCAGCGGACAATTACTATCCGAAGACGTGGCTCCTGAACACGCTGAACTCGGTGCTTGTCAATTTCTGGAATCCCTATTTCCGCGTCTCCGCGGTGACCCGCCGCGCAGAAGAGTGGACTTGGGAACTGATCCGGATGGAAGATGAGAACACTGACTACGCTGGCTTGGGCCCGGTCAGCAATCCTATGAACATGATTGCGTGCTATGAACATGACGGCCCCGATAGCTACTCGGTACGCCGGCACCGTGAGCGTTTGAATGACTACATGTGGATGAAGGATGAGGGCATGTTGATGAACGGCACCAACGGAGTACAGGTCTGGGATACTACGTTCATCATCCAGGCTGTTGTTGTGGCAGGTTTTGCGGCGGACCCGAAGTGGCGGCCAATGTTGACCAAGGCCCTGGAATTTGTGGAAGACCACCAGATGCGCGAGAACGTCCCGGACCAGGAGAAGTGTTATCGCCAGCACCGGAAGGGTGCGTGGCCGTTCAGCACCAAGACGCAGGGCTACACGGTGAGTGACTGCACTGCTGAGGGACTGCGGGCTACGATCCAGCTACAAGAGATGCACGACTTCCCGAAGTTGATCTCGACGCAACGACTAAAAGATAGCGTCGACTGTTTGCTGCTTATGCAAAATCCATCCGGAGGATTCACTGAATACGAGACCACGCGCGGGTCAACCAAGCTGGAGTGGCTCAACGCGGCGGAGGTCTTCGGTGGCATCATGATAGGCTACGACTACCCGGAGTGTACGACGGCCTCCGTGACTGCACTCTCGCTCTTCAGCAAGTATTTCCCTGACTACCGCGCGGATGAGATTCGAGCCGCCAAGGAGCGGGCAGTCAAGTATATCAAGCGGGTGCAGCGGGATGATGGCAGTTGGTATGGATCGTGGGGGATTTGTTTCACCTACGCGGCCATGTTTGCATTGGAGAGTCTGGCGAGTATTGGCGAGACGTACGAGACCAGCGCCGATTCCCGCCGCGGCTGCGAGTTCCTGCTGTCGAAGCAGAAAGAAGACGGTGGCTGGGGTGAGTCGTATCTCAGCAGTGAAAAACACGTGTATGTGCAACATGAGACCTCACAGGTGGTACAGACGGCATGGGCCTGTCTGGCCCTGATGGAGGCGGGCTATCCTCACAAGGAACCATTGGAGCGGGCGATGAAGCTGCTGATGGCACGACAGCAAGCCAACGGCGAGTGGCTACAGGAGTCTATCGAAGGAGTTTTCAATCAATCTTGGTAAGGTGTTCCCTCCCGGAAATCTATTGGTTGCCTACTAATATGAACGGATCAGTATGATCTCCTATCCGAACTACAAGCTCTACTGGCCGATCCGGGCTTTGGGACTGTATGCAAGGAAATTCGGCAATGATTCCTTGTTGTGAGATAGAGATAGATCGGCTGTGTTCATCTATCTACATCTATCTGTACAGTACATTCAAGATCTGCATCATACTATGTAATCAGAATAATCAGTCGTAGCGTTTTCAAATGCTGGATTAACTGGATTCAACTACTGGTACTAGGGTAACTTACGGAGTACTTTGTACGGAATCTCTAAGTATGGATCACGTGGCTGTGTTTTGATTCTTTCCCCGCAAGTCGACTTCTCCAACTTTCTACTTCCTTCCCTTGCCTTGCTGTCCCCCGCTTCACTTCTCTTGTTTTCATACTCCTCGCCCTTGCTTGCGCTCGCTGCCTCTTACAAGAGATGCGTATCGAAACTCTCCAGTGTTTGTACTTTCAGTGGTTCTGCCTTTGCTAGCGCTGACACGATCCCAGAGCTCAACCGACTGCCCCACCAACGATCCAGACACCAAATCCTACCCGACCTCGTCATTTCACGGATCACCCCGAATTCTCTTTTCCACTCCGGAAGGAGCTGAAGACGATAAGCAAGACAAACACACACAACACACACACACACACACACACACACACAAAATGGATGCCGCATCCCAAGGTGACGCCGCCTGCACTGAATCCGACTACCCCCGCGCCCTCCTTCACTACACCACCGCCCTTCTCGCCTTCCCCCGCTCCCCGGCCTACTACATCAAACGCTCGACCGCCTTCTCGCGGCTGAAGCCCGCCGACTCGCTCGCGGCGCTACGGGATGCCGAGATCGCGGTGCTCTTGGCCCGGGAACGCGGCAAGCGGGAACTGATCCTCGCGGCGCAAATGCGGCGCGGGGTGGCGCTGTTCCAGCTGGGCCGGTTCGGGGATGCGGGGTTCGTGTTCGGACTGGTTGACGCGAAGGTGAACGGGACTGCCGACAAGGCGAAAGCTGCGGATGCGGACGGGAAGGGCGCGGGGGTCGAAGACAAGCTCATGAGTGCGATGACGGCGGCGAACAAGCCCGCGGGCTCGAAGAACGGGTTCGAGCAGGAATTGCCGATCTGGTTGCTCAAGGTTAAGGGACGCTTGGGGAAGTTGGCTAACGAGGGCTGTGTGGATGAGAAGATTGTGGGGGTGGCGGTTGGCGAGGTGCCGGAGGGGGTGCAGGTGCCTACTGAAGGGGAGTTGAGAGCGCAATTGGAAAGTTTGAAAGGTGGAAAAGCTGTGGGAAGCCAGGACGGCGTTGTCGCTGGTGGGAAGGAGAGTGCTGGCGCTACTGCTGCTGCTGCGAAGACGCCTGCGCCTGCATCTGCTCCTGCGGCGGCGGCCACTGCTGCGGAGAAGGTCCGCCATGAGTGGTACCAATCGCAAGACCAGGTGGTCGTGACGCTCTATATCAAGGGTGTTCCCAAGGATCAATTGGACGTGGATCTCAACAGTGACTCGGTATGTGCATTTCTTGCATAACTTGTGGGTAATAACGTTGATCGTCGCTCCTAACCCCACCACGAACAGGCCTCTTTGCAATTTCCCCTCCCCTCCGGTGCTCAGTACGATTTCACTCTCGACCCTCTCTTCGCTCCGATCGACCCCTCCACCTCCAAGGCGACTGTCATGTCCACCAAAATCGAACTCGTCCTCCGCAAACAGACCCCCGGCCAGAAATGGAGTGCCCTCGAATCCACCTCGTCGACGATTAAGCTTGCGGATCGCCAGGCTGCGACAGCTACTGCCACCGCCTCCTCAACGACCGCCGGCAACCCCCGCACAGCATCTGGCCCAGCATACCCGACTTCCTCCCGCCATGGCGCCAAAGACTGGGACAAGCTCGCCTCCACCCTCACCGCCAAGGCCCCCAAAGGATCCAAACCCGACGACAAGTCTGCGGGTGACGATGACGACGAAGGGAATGACTCTGATGGCGGCGACGCGGTCGATTCGTTCTTCAAGAAACTGTACGCCAATGCTGACCCGGATACCCGGCGCGCTATGATGAAGAGTTACATTGAAAGCCAAGGCACGTCGTTGAGTACGAATTGGGAGGAGGTCAGCCAGGGGCCGGTGAAGGTAAGCCCGCCGAGTGATTGAGTCAAGTATCTCTTATTCGAGGGATGCCGTCTCTCTTAAGGCTATGAACCTCCAGCCCATGAGCGGTTTAAAGTCTAGTCTATGAAGGGGCGCATCATTTTTGCCTGGATGGAAACTACTTCCCTTCGGCGGTAATCATGGAGTTTTGCGGGCGGTTTGCGTTTGAGAAATTGTCCTTTGGGGATTACCAGCGGGTGTTTCAAGGTGCATCTTGCTTTTCCTTGCGTGGATTAGGGAGTCGGAGGGAGGATGTACGTTAGCTGATGGCTGATGGATCTTGTCATGCTCGCTTTCCGGCTCCCATGTGAGAGACTGGCTGTGGGCAGGAAGGTGTTGTAACTGCTAATCCTCTTTAACATGAATCTAAAATTGATGAAGTGAGACAAGATACAATGTCTATTATCTCTGCTCTAAGCTCTTGGGTCCGGATAAGTATATAGATACAGTGTAGAATGAAAAATGATCGCTGGCTGGGGCGATAAGGCCAAACACGCGAACACCACATACCAGTTGACCAAGGATACGCCACACAAGGACCAATATGTCCACAAGATTTAAATCAAGGAAAACTTTTTCTTTCCAAACCACCAACTCCGTAGCCAAAAGTAGGACTCCCCACCCAAAACAATCAGATATTTTCATCAGCATCATTATAATCAGCATCATCGGCATTTTCGCTGTTATCATCTTCGCCGTCATCCGCGAGCGGTCTCATCTTCGTCCGCACTGACATCCGTTGAGACCTCCTCGCCGGTGTTGTCTTGGTATAAGAAGAATTGGACGAAGATGCACATATCCAGCAGCAAGGTACCGAAGCTCCCAATCAACCAGGACAGGTTGACGAGGATGTATTGCCCGTACTTGGTGGAGAGCTCGGTCGGGGAGCACCGTCTCTGATCATGGGCGGCGTGGAGCGGAGGAGAGCTCGCGCCCGAGCTCGAGCGCGAGCGGGCGTCGGCGCAGACGGGCGAGTACGCCAGGATGGACAGCACGTAGGTCAGGTTGCCGATGCATGCAAAGAGGAAGAACAGAAGGGAGACGCCGTCCGTCGATTTGCGGCGGTAGTTGAGCAGGATCTGCGGAAGGCGCGAGCCGAGGTACAATGCGGCGCACAGGTAGCCGAAGACCTGGCCTAAGGGGTCCATTTCGAGCGACGCATCCGAGGCGGGAGAGGTGTCGTGGTGACGGTTGTTGTTGTTGTCGTCGTCGGAGGGCTGGGCGGTGCGTTGGCTGATGTACCAGCCTAGCACGCCGGCGGCGCAGACGAGGGTGATGGCCGAGGCGTGGAAGAGGGTCGTTTGCAGGGTGCTTAGCGTGCGTGGGGGGCGCGGTTCCTTGACGGGTTCGATGAAGGGCGTGACCGGAGACAGGTGCGTGCCGTCGATGGAGGGGTGGAGGAACGAGGCGGATGAGTGCCGACGACTACTCGTGAGCGGGGCTGGTCGTTGGTGGTCTTGCGGGTGATGGGGGGTGATGGTCACGGAGGATGCCGAGCTGGTGGTGTTGCTGGCCTGGTAGGACGGGCCGCCGCCGCGCTGTTTGGTGGAGCCAAGGAGCGCGGTCTGCTCCGTCGGCTTGCGCGCCATGACCGGGGACGGCACCTCTGTATCCTCCTCGTAGGCTTCTTCCTCGTCGTGGAGGGAGGAAGCGGCCGAGGCCCGCTGCCGCGGGGATGGCTCCTCGTCGCGGAGGGTGAACCCCCGGTAGTAGAAGCATTGGGCAAGCAGGACGACGTCGGCAAGGGTGTAGTAGACGGCAAGAATGATCATGGTCGGCAGGACCCCCTGTAGCACGGCGCCGAGGATGTTGAACACATCACCGGCCAGCCAGACAATCAGGAAGAGCAGTGAAAGGCCATCGGCGGATCCACGGCGGAAATTCTCAATGATTTGAGGCGAAAAAACAACCACCCAGCAGGCAATTGAGATCGATCTGGTCTTACGTCAGTATAGAGAAAAAGAGAGACACGGAATTAATCCACCGCGTTCGATGGGAGGGGGGAGAGCATGGTAGAGCTTGGTGAGTAGTGGCCACCTACCCACATATTCCACTGAGGGCTTCTAGATTGATGTTGCCGGTCTGTGCGGGAAACATGGCCGGTTTTTTGTTGTTGTTCGCGTTGTGGTGTATTGCTGTAGATCTGACTAGAGCGTGGTAGAGACCTGCTCCCAACTGGCGCGGATTTATGTCTGCTTGTGTTGTGGAAATTGGAGAGAATGTCAGCAGGAATGCAATGACAATAATAAATACCCTGAAATGACGTCCGCAGACTCTGCCGAGGAGGAAGAAGTGGAAGTGATGATCACGTGAGACAATCCGGGGTAAATCAGGGATCTACTGCTAGACGTGTAACTAATACTTGTGCCGTATGAGTACTGTATGTAACTAGGAAGTCGTAGTGCATATACTGCAAAATTCGATTGATCTAGACCCCTACAGTAACTAAAATACCACACCTCGGACACTGTACAGTACTCATACAGTAATCAACGACTTACTGAGTAACAAAGTCAACCAAATTTAACTACGGAATACTGACAGCATTGACCATTGAGACATTGACGGGATCCATGATTTATCATTAACTATTACTAAGTGCTGTCCTTACATTCGTTCATTAACTCAAGTTAATTATTCCTACTGCCCACTCCGCCTCGCCTCATCCCCCCCCCCATTTTCCAGATTCTCCAATATGAGGCTTCTCAATGACTGCACCTTCGATTCGGATCCCCTTTACCGGGCCCTTACCTCCTCCTATCATTGTTCCTTCATCAGCTCGTACAGTTGCGGGTGCCATTGATGCCCTCCGATCATTTCTCACAGCTTCGCCCTCCCCCTACCTGCGTGGCGTGGATGTCGGCAGACATGCCCAGACTGTGCTTCTGACGGGCGCAGGCATCTCGGTCGCATCGGGCTTGTCCGACTATCGAGGGGAGAATGGCACGTATAGAACAAATAAAGCATATAGACCGGTCTACTATCACGAATTCGTCACCCGCCACGAGTCCCGCAAACGATACTGGGCTCGCAGCTTCATCGGGTGGCCGGGCCTTTTGAAGTCCAAGCCCAATTCAACGCATCTGTCCATCCGGGACATCGGTGCCAAGGGCTATATCAGTTCAGTGATTACCCAGAACGTGGACTCCTTCCATTCCATCGCCCATCCCGAGCTGCCTATCCTGGAGCTGCATGGCTACTTAAGATCGGTGGTCTGCGTCAACTGCCGAAACCAGGTGCCTCGAGATGATTTCCAGAGATCGCTCGAAAGACTCAACCCGGCTTGGGCCGAGTTTCTGGCAAAGATGACTGATCTTGGCGCCTTGGATACCAACAACCGGGAGGAGCAGCGGCGGAGGGGGTTGAAAATCAACCCCGATGGGGACGTCGATCTGCCGGAAGCGCCATACTCGACGTTCCGATACCCTTCCTGTCCGACCTGCTTGGAGAAGCCGCCGCGTTTGCAAGATGGTGCATTAGCACGGGTGGAAGTTGAAGCGGACGGGGCCTGGCTTCCCTCCTCCACTGCCGGGATTCTGAAACCCGGCGTCATCATGTTTGGCGAGAACATCGATCCTGCCGTGAAGGAAGCGGCACAGGAAGCGATTGACGACGCTGGAAGACTGCTGGTTTTGGGAAGCAGTCTCGCAACGTATTCAGCCTGGCGCTTAGTGGAACGGGCTTATAAACGAGGCATGCCTATCGGGATCATTAATATTGGAGGCGTCAGGAATGAAGCGGTTCTCTTTGGAGGAGATCACGAAGTCGTCTCGCGATTCATTCGTTTTAGTCTCCCTTCGGAGTCGGTTCTAGCACCGGTGGCTACTCAACTCCCTGTTCTAGTTCATTAGGTTCCACCAGAAGTCGTGTGCAAAGGACGATAGAAAAATAGAGAGAGAGAGAGAGAGAGAGAGAGAGAGATTGATCGTGAGCATTGATGATCGTCAGCATGTACAATACAGGACTTCATATTGGAAAGAAGAATAGAGAATTAATTAAATTTAGAAAATAGGTACTATGATTATAGCTAGTCACCTACGCACGAAGCACAGCACCTGCCGGTGACTGGCTGGAGCGGAGAACAAGCCGGGCGGCAAAGTCAAGCCCGAAGGTAACCTGGAACGCACTGGGCGAAAGTCTGCCTCCGCCTGTCCATCTCCGACCCAGGCGCGGGGCTCAGTTGGTTGACTTAACCGTTGCCCGCCGCCCTTCTAGCATCAATCATTTCCATGGACAGTCGCAACAGTTCACGATCTGCTTCCCACCCCTCCTTGCAGCGTACCGCCTATCTGGACCTCATCTCAACCCTCGTTTCACCCAAGTCATTTCTCACTCACTCGCAGCGGCCTAAACCGCCACCGCCATCATATCACCCCCAACCATCGGTCGCACAGGAAACTTTCACCACCGCGTCGCCAGCGATGGACAAGCAACAGCCTAGCTCTTTCCAGCAGCTGGAGAAGGTAAGAGCCTTGACCTTCGACGCCCCATACACTCTCGATATCCTTACTAACTCTGGTCTGGTCGATTCCAGCTTGGAGAGGGTACCTATGCTACCGTATGTGATTCCCCCCTTTCCTGCCTTCGCTGCTGCGCGCGGTGACAACTCACACTACAAGTCGCTGTAAATACTTATCCGACGGTTACCTTAGGTTTTCAAAGGACGGAATCGCCAAACCGGGGAGTTGGTTGCACTAAAGGAGATCCATCTAGACTCCGAAGAAGGAACGCCATCGACCGCGATTCGCGAAATCTCTCTGATGAAAGAACTCAAACATGAAAGTATTGTTTCACTCTACGATGTGATCCACACAGAGAACAAGCTGATGCTTGTCTTCGAATACATGGATAAGGATCTCAAGAAGTACATGGATACCCGGGGCGATCGGGGTCAATTGGACCAGGCAACCATCAAGTCGTTCATGCATCAGCTCTTGAAGGGCATTGCTTTCTGCCATGAGAACCGGGTTCTGCATCGTGATTTAAAACCTCAGAACCTTCTTATCAATAAGAAAGGACAGTTGAAACTCGGGGACTTTGGCCTGGCCCGTGCTTTTGGCATTCCCGTCAACACTTTCTCCAACGAGGTTGTGACGCTGTGGTATCGTGCCCCAGACGTCTTGCTAGGCAGCAGAACCTACAACACAAGCATCGATATCTGGTCGGCTGGCTGTATCATGGCAGAACTCTACACTGGTCGGCCCCTGTTCCCTGGCACTACCAATGAAGATCAACTCCAAAAGATTTTCCGTCTTATGGGCACACCTTCGGAGCGCTCATGGCCCGGCATCTCTCAACTGCCGGAATACAAGTCGAATTTCCACGTGTATGCAACCCAAGATCTTGGCCTGATTCTCCCCCAGATCGATCCTCTGGGGCTGGATCTGTTGAATCGGATGCTTCAGCTCCGTCCCGAGATGCGCATCAGTGCCCACGACGCCCTGCAGCATCCTTGGTTCCACGATCTTCCTCAGTTGCAGGCGCAGCTGCAGCAGCAGCAGCAACAGCAACAGCAACAGATGTCCGGGGCATATGGCGGGATGGTTCCTCCCCAGCAAGCGTATTAGCCATCAGCAGTCGAGAATTATCACTGTCTACTATCGCATCCCGTGCTCTGATTTGTGCTTTGCGATTATATCTTACCTTTGCACCTTATTGACTTTTTTACGAGATGAAGGACATGATGAAGCACTTGGATTGGTTCTAGAACGGAGAGCGTGGCGTTATACTTGAAGAAGGGCTCGATGTGGTGTTCTCTTGTTTCTCCTTAGTTCTCGCAGATTCCCGTCTTTCTTTCAGCTTATATTAGCGTATGCGAGATGATTATCGTCAGCAGGTAACTACAATCTATACTCTGATTATCACTTCGTGCCTGATCCACCCGCTACCACTCATACAGGTACTCGTGGTTTTCTCAAATAATAATATGCCAGGCACCCGAATAAGCATATCTCGTCAGCCCTGTCGCATGCGATGCAGGGCATCAGTTCCCTGCGTTTTCACAGTAAGGGCTAAGGAGGCATGCATGCTCTGATCACTGAAAATATGACCCAGTAAGCAATTTTCCCTCCGTGTTTTATACTTTGTTTTTGGGATTGACAGCCATGCTTTTTGAGCCGACGATCAAGAATCAAGTGGGGTGAGACCTGTAGTTGTGACAGCACATATTCGGAATGCACTCGTATGAATTCTAAATTGTTTTTCTTCCTTGCTTCCACTCCAAATTGACTAGTGTTCACTCCTAACCCGAGAATTGATGATCGACAGTGCATCGTCAGATAGGGCTCCGCCGCCAATCCAACTTGTTATACTAACTGCTTCTTTATGCAGGTGCTAAGAGCGTCATGATCCTCTGAGTTCCTGCTGACCTGGTGTTATTGCCTATAGCCCTATACCAATCATTTAATTTCCCTGTCCTCCCGCCCCCTTTCTTTTTTTTTTTTTTTTCTCTAAAAACAAGGTTTATTCGCCCTTGTACATCAACATATACCATCACACCCTCCTGCTGTAAGGCTCGTTGCATGAATCTGTCGATGGACAGGCCACATGAGGATAGAGAGACAGTTTGAGGAATTTATGAGGGTAAGATCGTCCTATCCATGTCCCCGGGACAATAGTTGGGGACATGAAGACCAATCTCATCACGTCCAATCCTTCGAACAGGGGCTCTGCCTCCCATCAATCAATCGATAACAATGAGAATAACGTACGAAGTGGTCCCCTTTGGATTCTTGAGTCCTGAAAGGCTCACAACGGCGTATGACCATTTACCACTGTGTTTCTTTTCAGACTCTCTCGCAATGTTGGTTTACATTGAGAAGTGATTGGCTCCTTTACTTCTGGAGGTTGAACCCCGACTCTACCGGTAATGCCGAGACTATAGGGGCTTGGATCCTGTCCTTGAAAGGATATCAGAGCCCCGACCATTATCGGCTTGTTGGAGAAACCTTGGGGTTATCTGATATATCTGACCGGGGCCTCTGCAGATTTTAGGATGAGAGAGAAGATTCGTTGTGTGGCTATTTGCATTAACTTTGCCCCGTCGTGAGACAATGTCGCTATCGCGATCCCAACTACAAGCCATCTCGGTAACAGAGCGTGTCTGTTCGGCTGTGTCTCTTCTGGGAACTTTCGTCATTGTCATTTCTTTCCTTTCCTCTTCTTCTTTCCGCAAGCCCATCAATCGCCTAGTTTTCTATGCATCATGGGGCAACATGATGGCCAATGTCGCGACACTGATGTCTCAGTCAGGAGTCCGCTTGGGAACTGCAAGCAGCCTCTGCCAGTTCCAGGGCTTTCTTATCCAATGGTCTGTTTCCTCTATGTCTTCAATGTCGTATGGCAGCCATCACTGACTTAGACCAATAGGTTTATGCCCGCTGATGCCCTGTGGACATTTGCCATGGCCTGCAATGTCTGGCTCACCTTCTTCCACAAATACGACTCTGAACAGTTGCGACGACTGGAGGTGAAGTACCTACTGGCTTGTTACGGGCTACCTTTTGTTCCTGCCTTTGTATATTTCTTCATCGAGACAAAGACACGGGGCAAGATATACGGCGCAGCTACAGTAAGTGTAACCACGGTATCTGGACAGTCCCACCAGGCTCCTTCATACTGAGACAATTTTGCAGCTTTGGTGCTGGGTCTCGACCCCTTGGGACTTTCTACGCATTGGCCTGTTCTATGGACCAGTGTGGTTAATTATGTGCTTGACCATTTTTATCTACGTGCGCACAGGCAGCGTGATCTATCAGAAGCGGCAGCAACTGAACCGTGCTGGAAACACAGAATCTTCCAGCACCGCAGCTAGCTTGAAAGACATCCAACTTTCCAAAGTGACCGAGTTTTCTATAACCCGGGAGATTGTGCATACTGTGCAAGTGCCACTAGAGGGGGATGAAGATCCGATATCGACCAAGAGCCTGCACACATTCTACTGCCCATATTCAGTTACTATCCAAGCCGGTAGCGATCTCCAGGACAGCGAGAAAATTGCAGAGCAATCTCTCGGACATGACGAGGTCAGCACCGGCATCCAACGCCGAGCGACCGTGATGGAAACGAATTCGGCGGCATGGGCTTACAGCAAATATGCAGTCCTCTTCTTCATTGCCCTGTTGATCACATGGGTGAGTATTCGCTGACTCTATCGAACTGAACTGCGACTGACGGGATTGCACAGGTGCCGTCAACCGCCAATCGAGTCTATTCACTGGTGCTCCCGCACAAGCCCAACTTCGAGTTGAATTACATCTCGGGTCTGGTGTTACCACTACAAGGGTTTTGGAATAGTATAATATATGTGTCGATCTCATGGCCAGCATTTGAAGAACTCTTGCTCCCGACTAGGAAGGCTTGCGCTCAAGCTGAAGACCAGGCAGGGTCAATTGAGTCCGAGAGCCAGCGCCGACAGTGAGATTGCACTGAGAACCGCAAAGCTATCTTGGCTCACCGAGGACAACCCTACCACCGATGAGGCCTTCAAGCAGCATTGGTTGACAATTAAAACTTTACTTTCGTGCTTGTATAATACATCATTTTGATTTCTCTTCTATGTATTCCAATTTCTGGGTCTACAGCGCTGTCTTGTCTAGTCAGATTTACTATGGCTATCTCACTGCGTACAACCTTACAGTCACACTTTTCAAACAATTGTCAAGCCCTCTGTGATCAGCATTATCATCATCGTTGTATGTATGGAGTATGTGGAATCTCTAATGTAGAAATCACGTGATGGGCGCGTCTTCCGGCGCGTCTCGCCCGTGCATCCATCGCAATTCCGCCAACCCATCTCCACCTCAGAGCATCTTCAACCACGATCGATAGAAGAAACCCTGCCTGACAACTCAATCGCAGGCAGAAAAACAAGATCACACAAATTCAAAAAGAAAGAAGGAATACAACAAAAGAGAAGAGAAAAAGAAAAAGAAAAGATCCCGACATACAGTCTCCTCCAATACCTGGTTGAACGCATTCCACCGCAAAA